AGCAGCCAGAACTGATTTCATCAACGGATCGGTAACATTTATGTATCATGTAATATTCAGGTTGAAAACAAAATTAATGTGTTGTCTACACTCAAATGATTTTCCATATTTATAAAAATTACAAATTGTATAACTTAAATATGGTTTTGTAGTTTTCCTTGAGCCTCTAGTTGCCACCCTTAATTAATTTGCTAATGATATCAAGCTGACCACCATTATTAGTTTACAACTTTCTGATTTATTATTTTCATTGTTCCTTATTTTACATATCTCTTTTATTTACGCCCACGTTCATAAAATTTGTATCATTTTTTAACATAATAACAGAATTAAATAAAATTAATCATTGTAAAAACATAATTGGATATATATTTTTCAGCCTAACTCAATTATTCTAAATTCAAACACAAAAAATAATTATAACATAGTAAATAGATCAAAAAATATTGCTAGGTTCTGTAAATGAATTTTATCTTTCTTTCTTTCTGGGGACCCGAACTTTTCTTAATATTAAATGAGCAGTAAATATAGTGTAATACCAATTTTACTTCATGATCTGAAAAAGGGAACTCTGTTACTCAGTTACTTATCTTAAGCTATTTTGCGGTTTCCCCAGCTTATGACTCAAATCTATTTATACAATGACAATTATAAGAAAACTATTCCACATCTAATACCTAAATTAATGTTAGCTTAATTTATTTTTCGTTTCTATTACTTTCATAAAGTATTTTGTTATACTGAAATCCCACATAATATTGAGAACTGTACATATATTTATAACAATCTTTTATTTTTAATCTATATAAAGGTAAACATCTGACTTTTTACATTTAGTATTTTTATATATCGGGTCATGTCGCCTCAATAACAACGTAGACAAAGAGAAAAAAACACATTTTTTCATAAAGAACACTGACATCGAAGGACAGACAGATATTCCTTTTAGGCTCCTTTGACATGTTTTTTATTCAAATGTACATATAAATGTACATTTTCACACTTTTTTATGAACCAACATTGTTTTACTTCAAGAAGAAGTAAATTTTAAGGTATCGTTCTAAAAAATATCAAAAACCAGATTAACGAGTCAAAACATTCGTCATTATTAATGGTGTAAAATTTCGGCGTTTCTTTTATAATATCTATAATGTATAATGATACAATTTATATTTTTAAGTACTATAAAGTATGATAAGGTTTTCTTAGATTTATTTATATGCAATTGATAAATAGAAATCGGTGACATACAAAAAGGATACTTTCAACAACAATTATTAATAATACTAAGTATATTTTGTTTCCATGAATTTATATTTGTTAGTGAATTCGATATACATACATATGTACATAGCTTGCTCAAGACGGGTTGGTGATTTAAAACTTATAATAGTGAAGTTATAAGTCTACGTTTCCTCACGATGTTTTCCTTCACCTTATGTCGGTGGTGTCTGAATACTCTTAGAAAGTACATATGACTCGGAAAAATCACATGGTACTTGACTGGATCGAACTGCATGAGAGGCGGGCGTTTAACCACTAGGCCATCACTGACATTTTACTGACTCATATGACTACATTGATATACTTTTTTAACTTGAATATATACCTTTGGAAAAAATATCAATGCACGTAACAATATCTATTAAGTGCTAGAATATACCAAAACACAAAAATAAACTATGAACAAGATAAATTATTCAAATTCAAAAATTCTTAATAAAACTTGAGATAAACATTTCTTCATGATATACTTATTATTAATCATCAAATATTAATTATTTATCTATGTATGTGATGCTTTCATTTATGGTATCAATTATTGCCAATTATAGTTTTATAAAAGAACAATATAATACCAATTACATGAATTTTATTTTTAAAACACGATGCCTAGAGAAAGCTGTTACGAGACTTTTTTATAAAAAGCGGTTTATAAGTAAAATACAACTTTAATTATTTTTACTTAAATACAAAACTTGACTTTTATGAAAATACAAAGAAATATTTTGTAACATAGATAACATATTAATAAAGACAATGTGATATCGGTTCTTAACAGTTTAGTTACCGCTCGAACTGAAAGATAAAAATCAGACTAGACTTTTTAATGTGCTTAATTATGTTTATATAAAATGATAGGTCTCAGTAAGTCATTTCTTTATATAAGTCCCAGGAATCCAATATCTACTTTCATCCTGTTCCCGCGTCAGTTTGTATATTGTGATCAGCGAACTAGTGAATGTAATTTAAAGTTGGTCAAAGGCGCGTGATGCTGTCAGCTGTGATGGACACTGAGACATGATGTGTTTCCTGGATTATATGTAGAATATATTAAGTACTACCTGTATAAAATACAATGATATAAAAGTGTATTTTTATAAAACAACTCTATTGTCTAATATATTAAAAATATTTGAAATATAAATTTAATAACATATACAATACAAGTAGTCACGTCAAAATGGTCTAAATACGAAAATGAGTTTTTTATTGAGGTCATTGTTTTACAAATATATTTTCTGTTAAAAAAGAATTAAAGAAAAGGAAAAATTAAAAACAATCAATCATTCACAAAAATCTTACGTCGGGATTTTTTCATGTAACGAAAAAAGAAGAGTATTTTAGTATTACAGATTTACTATAAAAAACGCTAACTATATGTTCTGAGACGGTCGGCTGCTAATAGCACCGTTATTATAAAATAAAATTTACATAGATAAGACATTTTCTAACAAAAGAAGCTATTAATCGTTTGAATGGCATTGAGTATCAGGACTCATTAAAGTTTAATAAAAATATGACATTCAAATTTATTCATCGCTTGCATCAACGAAATATTATGAGAAGAATGTGCAAAAGAAAATAATTTCTGATAAAATTAAAATCCTAGAGAAGGTTCTTTTCTGATCAAGTAAAGCCAGCCTGCACTGAAACAGAACCGTGTGAGTAATGACTGCACAATGTTACTATTACACGTTACTTTAAATCGTTAATAATAATTAATGAAAATGTAAATTTTTAATATAATGTAGTCGACGAGGGTGAAACCCCGGCTCACAACTTATTATAATGGTTGAAACGAAAATGTTTATTTTACATTATAATTAATATTTAGACAAATCTTAACTGAGGACTCATCTGAATATTTTATATGATATTGTAGCGTCACTAATTACTGTAGGAGCTCGGTGAAGAAGACACTAAATATTAAATGCGCTTTGTTCAACGTCTTGCAAAAGCTTTACCATTTCTCATAAATTCCGAAATTTATTTGACTTTTTTTGTAAATGTATATTTCCTATACTTTTGTAAAATTTTAATCATGCATTTTATTTACGCATTGAATAGTAGCAGAAGACTAAATAGAAAAAAAATTGTATTTAGTCCGTAATTTTGTATGAATTCCAACTTCACTCTCAACAATTTCTCCATTAGAAATAATATGAATGATGACAGTAACTTTCAAAACCAATATGGTTCTGAGTTGATAAATGAAATAAAATAGTTGCGATTTTCAAATATCCGTATGGAAATGATTGTTGTTATAATATTTTTCTTATTTTGTTTCCATCAATTTATAGCGAACAAAGAAAAATATATCAAATATGTTATAATATCAATTATATCCAAAAAACAATATTTTTTCAATGTTTTCTATACAAACTCCTCTCTCTACCTAATCAAATTTGAAAAGAAGCTACAATGGCTGCCTTCGAAGGGCGTTCGAAAAATTTTCACACGTTTGTAATATTTATTAATTCTTTATTATTTTTAACATTTTATAAACGTCAACTCGTCATCATTCTTGTTCATATATTGTATAACATTTGTATTACAAATAACTTTGAACAACTTTTACTTTCTCTTGTTTACGGTCTGAAGGCTGGCGTTGACATTTGACAGACCAAATGATCTTAAACATGTCAAAGAAAGTTTTCTCAATAGGAATATGAAACATTTATTCTTAGTGAAAAGAATTAAGAATTTTATATACAAGACATAATACAAAAATACTTATAAATTAAAATGAGCTGAAATTATAGTTTTAAATAAGTTTTGAGACTTAAACCGGGCCAGACTTTGTTCAGTATATTAGGACATTGAAGACGATGAAAAAATTAAAGGTCACTAGATACGTGGCTTGGTTTAATGTTATTACATAGCATGTGAAGTTCAAATCCAATCACTTATTGCTTAAAAAAATCCTTTCGATATTTAAGTTCAATATACATACCTACTTAACAAATTTAATATTCATTCAATTGCAGTCTTCTTTTATTTTAAACGTTATCAATCCAGTGATTTGATTTAAATAGAAATATATTTCTTAAAAAAAATTATCATCCTTATTATATTTTAATTGCATATTTTAAAAAGCATACAGTCTGTTTTTGTATAAATAATATTTCATAAATAAAACTTTAGTTTCGTATATAATTTAAATTTTCTTTCTAATATCGCGGATGCAATAATATTTTACATGACAAAGAATAATGGTCACAATATAGTGAAATGATGTACAAGGAAGGGTAAAGAGGTCATGTACATGTTAAAATATTGTAATTGTCCTTCTACAACGTCCACTTCAAATCTGGTTTAAGGGGTTTTAATTTTATGTTTGTGAAGCAATCGGGAGCTATCACAACAACGGAAAGGAAGGGCTATGTTACTTACGAATTGGCCAGCTAGAGTTCAGACATACTTACATAAAGATTAGTATTAAATATAATATAGGCCTGTTTTAACTGAAGTATAAATAGCTTTATTTTTTACAGTCAGTAAATACGGATATTTAAAAGTAGTAAAAATAAGATATAACATATATTTTTTTGTGAATAATATCAAATATTTAAAATAATTTTTTTAATATTACATTAATTATTGTGGTTTTTATTACAGTTTGTTGGATAGACTTAGAGAACGCGTTCGGGTCGATACAACACGAGTTGATGCTATTCGCGCTTAGATGGTATAACTTTCCACCCTTAGTTAGCGATATGATTGCGTCGTATTACTCAAAATTAAAGTTTTCTATTATAACTAAAGAAGGCCCTTCAAAAAGTTTGAGTTACAATGTAGGACTATTCCAAGGGTGCTGTTTATCTCCAATAGTATTTAATATTGTAATCAATATCCTAGTAGATAAACTTATCAGCAATGAGAAAAAATGGGGGTATCGGTTTAAGTTCAATAACAAATACACGGAATCCATTTTAGCCTTCGCTGACGATCTCGCAATACTGACACGTCACCCCAAACACTGTCAAGTACTATTGGATGAAGTGGATAAATTCTGTGAGTGGACGGATGGATTGAGGACAAAACCAAGTAAATGTCACTGTCTGTGTCTTGGTAGGCGGAATACAAGATACACCTCATACGATCCGGGACTATCGATAGGCGGTCAATGCGTTTCTACGGTTACGGAAAATGCACCATTCAAGTTTCTCGGTCGTAAGATTGATAATATAGGTCGTACTCCATCTTTAGAAGGAATAGTAGATAGCTTTTTAAATGATCTCAACAAGGTAGATAGCCAGCAGATCAGTAACGTAAAAAAAGCATGGATCTACGATAATTACTTAACTTCACGTTTGAATTGGCCTTTCCTCGTCTATGATTTTAGTAAAACCCTTTTATCTAAATTAGATGCAGGCGTCATAAAGATGTTGAAGTTGTGGCTCGGGCTCGCGCTAACGGCTGACTCATCGGCTTTATTCAGGGATCGTAATAGTTTTGGGATGAATCTAAAAAGACAATCGGAGCTCTACAAACACCTAAGAGTTTCCAAGAGACATATCCTGGGAAAATCCCATGATGACGTCGTTACATCACTCCCAAAAGACAATGATGCCCCAGAGCTAGAGTCACGACTTCAATTCCATAAACAATTTATGATCGGAGCGCAAAATAACAGAGTAGGGTTAGGATCAAGTAGGAAAGTCCAAGATACGGATATATTGAAGTCTTTTATTCGGCAAGACGAGAACGATAAATACAAGATCCATGCAATGAGTTTAGAAATGCAGAACGATTGGTTAGACATGGGAGATTTTTGCATTCCACTAGCACTAAAATGGCGCACCCTAATTCATGACTGGTCGCCAGCCTTGCTAAAATTTTATCTCAATGCGTTCCAGATGACTCTCCCAGATCAGAGTAATTTAGTAAGATGGGGTAAAGGTACCGAAAAAACTTGCTATATCTGCGGAAAGGCAGTTGGAACTGCCAAGCATTTGCTGGTGGGATGTAAGGTTCTCCTGGACAGCGGTCAATACTCGCGTCGTCACGATAGGGTTTTAGAGATCATACGTGAAGCGGTTAGTCTTTCGGTAGCCAGAGCGCAAAGGGAAATAACCACAAACGAGCGATCAATAGGTTTTGTGAGAGAGGGCACCAGGGCTATAAAATCAAACGTCAAGCCTTACTCTATCCTTAAAGCGGCTTCGGATTGGACTATCATGATGGATACGTATGAGAAACAATACAAAATCCCCGAGGATATTTGTGCGTCGGCCTCCAGACCAGACATATTTCTATATTCGCGTATTTTAAAGCGCGTTGTGATGATAGAGCTTACGGTGCCTTGGGAAACCAACATCCCCAAAGACCATGCCATCAAGGTCAATAAGTATTACGAGCTCACTAACGAACTAACTCGAAATAGGTTCGTCGTTGATTTGTACGCGGTAGAGGTGGGAGCGAGAGGTATAACAGCTAAATCTCTCTATAACCTACTAAAAGACTTGGGCCTGTCCAGAACTAACATTAATTCATTCTTAGAACGTACGTCGAAGGCAGCCCTAGTAGGTTCTTTTCAAATTTGGTTAGGTAGGGAGAGGAACTTGGACAGTGGAGGTGAGCGTATAACGCGCGTTAGTTAAGGGGCCCCTTAAACCTACACCTGGGTCGCAAGTCCCAGGCACTGTTGAAGCTCCTCTCCCTGCAACGCGATGGACCCGGCACCCGCACGGTGAATCCATCGAATGCTAAGAGGTTTCGTCTCTTTTAACTACCGGCCCGCCCCGGCTTCGCACGGGTACATACACACACACACACACACATATACCCTTCTTTTTTGCGTCGGGTTTAAAAAAAAAAACTAAAATTATTAAGGAAGTTTGAATTTTTTTATTAATGTTTTTTTTGTATTTTTTATTTTTAAATTTTATACAAATATCATGTTATCTACAAAACAAAAGCCATTAGTTTTAGTGAGTCAGAGCTTCCCTGCAAACGATATTTGAAGTAGTTTTATTTTATGGCAGCTAAATAAATCGATTTTCAGGAGCTCCGACACGTGACAGGCCAACATACAGTTGGCCATGAGTGAAACATAGGTCGATCCCTACTAATTCGAAGGTTTGGCTTTGGGACTTGTTAATAGTTAACGCGAAAGATGATTTGATCGGAAACTGAAGTCGTTTAAAAGGGTTTGGCAGATCAGTTGGAATCATCGGTATCCTCGGTATATGAGCTAGTTGACAAGCTGCTGGGCCAATGATAACGGTCGCTACAATTAAATTGTCCTTCAATTCCTTAATAAGCACTCTCGTCCCATTGCACATGCTCGAAGGGTTTAAATTTCTTAAAAGCATTATTGGAATTCCAATTTTTAACGTCAATTCATGTGGTGGCATTCTTTGTATGGTGGTACAGCTGAGCTGCGTCTGAAATGAAATATACCTGCAGGTACTGTGGATTTTGACCTAATGGTGGTAAAAGGCTACCTATAAGGTGATATACTTGTCCCTGTATTTTAAAAGTCGGAATAAAATTTTTTTCTCGAATCTCTTTCGCGCCAAACGAAGTCATTTGAAAAAGGCCTTGTGCCTATTTATGTTTCTTAAAAAAATGTCCACATAGTGAATGATCATTTGTTAAAAGGCTTTTTACTGGCTATGGCGGCTCCTGAATGTTGGGGAGACTAACTTTTCCAGAAGTGCAGCACAAACCATTAGGTTCATCGACCCATTTTTTAGCAGAGCACTTAGAGCAGATCTTATTCATGGCTCCCATTTGGACGGAAGACTGTTGAGCATAATCAATCTGTGGATCGTATCTGAAAGCTATTATTATTATTATTAACTACTAGCTTTCCGCCCGCAGCTTCGCCGCGTGGAGTTCGGTTATATCGCGTTTCCAAGAGAACCTTTCAAAAGTCTGGGATAAAAACTATCCTATGTTCTTTCTCAAGGTCAACTCTATCTCTGTACCGAATTTCATTAAAATCAGTTCAGTGGTTTAGGCGTGAAAGCGTAGCAGACAGACAGACAGACAGACAGACAGACAGACAGACAGAGTTACTTTCGCATTTATAATATTAGTAGGGATTACTATAAGCTAAAACTCGATTACGGACCCTAGTCGTTGACTAAAGTACTAAGCTTTTTGAATAATTATAATATAATATTTATTATCATGTAAGTAGTAGGTACTAAATAAAAGAAAATGCAAAATATGGTTTTAGAAAACTACCTTTTACTAAATTTTTGCTTAAATTTTGAACAGGATTATTTATAAACTACTTCTATAAGCTGTTTGAATAGTTAAATTAAAATATAATATTTATTATCAGGTACTTATTTACCTACGAAACGAATTTAAAGCGGATTAAAAATTTCTTCAAGATAAAATCATACGATCACGCACACGTCCGCTGCGTAGGGAGCCGACCGCGCGGCCTTTTATTTTATTACATTGTCTCTCCTCCCCGTACCCTAGTGACGCTTACATAGAGCCTACATCGCATGCTGGCTAGCTGAGCGCGATGAGCGGCAACCACGCGACTGTTTTCTAATATCTACTTGCATTTTTAAACTTGTGATATCTTCCGAATGAAATGTCCGAATTGAATAATTCAAAAAGTTATAAAAAGGTATCGAAGCCGTCTTGAACATAAAGTAATTTATTTTGATAAGGATTAATACCAAAGTACAAATAAAGAGCCTTTTCAAGCGGCGGCATATAAATAAATTTTTTAAAATAAAAAACCGCTTACTGTGACATAACTACATATAATATTTAGACATATACTGTCCGAATACTTTTTGTAGATAATTACAAGTTCTGCAAAGTCGTAGTAAATGATTTTGTTCTATCATCAATAGTTTTCGCAGCGCACGCGACATAAGGAATTTTTCAGATCATTTTTTTACACCTTGGGTTACATTATTGGAGTTATAGTAAGGGACCCTAATTTTTTTTAATATAATATAGCCCATATTACTCGGGAATAATGTAGCTTTCAAAAGGTGAAAGAATTTTTGAAATCGGTCTAGTAGTTTCGGAGCCTATTCATTACAAATAAACAAACAAATCTTTCCTCTTTACTAATATATGTAGATGTTACTACCCTTACTACCCTTACTACCACATAGACTCTAGGGAAATGATAAAAAAGGTTTATTAGCCTTAAACTATAAATTTGTCAACTCTTTGACTGTAAATAACAAAGGAATACACTAAGGTTTTATCTTATTATTAAAGAATATTAACTAAGAAAATTCTTGTAATGAGTTTTATCTACTGCAGTATTAAAACCAAAAAGTGTTCCTTAAATAAAATGTTATATCTTTAGATGTTTATCTAATTTTCAATTTCCTGCCAGTTACTCTGACCTGTGTCGCACCTAATCTCGGTCGGTCAATATTTGTATTACTCGAGTGGAGAGTGTTTAATGATATTGGAGACTTGAAGTGAAATTTTCTTTTAAGGGTTATACTAGTTTACTTAGTTTAAAGAAAATTTGTTTATGTAATTTTCGTTTGAATTTTACACATTGCAACAAGCGCTCTGACTCATCGGACGAAAAACAGCTATAGCAAAATACTTCACGCCGGCTGTGAAAGGATGGTACTTCCCCGGTGGAGCCAGCCCATGTTCGACCTGAAGCAACTTGACCACAATCAGGCTCTTGTGATAATGTGTTAGACTTTGGATTTCAAGCTGTTCCATACTAATTATTTAATTTCTTTTCTTCTTATGTATTCTTTGACAATACTTAAGTTGTGTGTTATCTATGGAAATGTGTTCATAATTTTTACGAGTTTTGACTGAGAACTGATCAGGATTAAAGGAAACCCACACATCTAGTTAGGTATCTCATTAAGAAATCTCACCAAAACCCTACATACTAACCTACCGTTGACAAATCTGTGACCACCTTTTGCGATGCTGAACGTCTGGAGGTATAGCATCAGTTTGTAAAACATGTCTTTAGTATGAATAACTTACTTCTACCTCGCCAGTATGGCAAGAAACATTTAAAGCCACCTATAGTAAACCGACAACGTGCAATGTATGAAGGGATTTACTAACATAATAGTTAATATATTGAAGAAATTTTTTTTAACCATATAAAAAAAAGGAAAGCGATTACATTCGTTTTGTTAAACCATAGATCCACCTCGGGAAAAAGATATAATAAAAATTAAACCAAGTGGGATCCATTAAAATTAAAAAACTCCCAATGACTGACAATAATACATCTAACATCTATTCCCTCAATAAAAATACAAAATCCCATGTCTGTGAGGCCTCGGCCTCGAATTTTGCGGGCAGCGGAGCGGCAGCGGGAGCGGCAAGATCTTACGCGTGTAATCAAATGGACTGACCCTCGAATACAGCGGTGCCCGCTGCCCGCTAGTTTGGAGAACAGTATGCGTTTCCGTGCCGCCGCCGCTGCCGCTCCGCTGCCCGCAAAATTCGAGGCCGAGGCCTGAGTCCCTAACCAGGCTTCAATAAATGGAGAATAAAAAGTAGATGACAAATAATTAGACTAACAGAGAGACACTTATATCCCGTGATGTAAAACTATTGAAACGAAGTATACAATGTTATATTAAATCTCGTAGTATATCCGAAAAACATGGTTTTATTATATTAAGCGTATTCAACTATCATGCCATTGATTTAAAAACAAATACAATGTATTAAAAGTAGTATTTTCTGTAAACATGCACATTAATGGCCACTTTTTTTACAAAATACAACATTGTTAACTTATCATCCCTTTAACAACAATGTGTTATAAATTAACATACTGACTACATTGTGTTGCGAAACAGATTTAATAATTTTTTACTTGATTTGACCTTAAAACCTGACGACGTACACAATGCCTAACTTTGAGAGGTTAACCTCATTTTGAAGAGTTTAAAACACAAAACTGAAGTGTTTTAAATATGTATCTACTAAACTAGTCTGAGGATTAAAAAATTAATACCGATTTATAAATATACTTCTGTTAGTAGGAAATTCATTCTAATATGAATTTAAAAGTAATACTTCAGTATGTAGTTGAACAGCACAGATGTAAATTGATTTTATTTGTACTGTTCGTGTTTTAATATATTTCCCAGGGTTGTATTTGTATGGATGTGAAGTATAATATGTGTCTCTGTTATAGTTTACAGTGGTACATTCCCTATCATATATATATATATATATAACAATTTTCTCATTAAAATAATTTACACATTAGAATATCTCACCCGCAGTTTACTTTGCCAGAGATAATGTTACCTATATTATTTTCTCAAAATAAAACCAAAAAAGTTCAGGTTTCTATATTTTAAAACCAAGTTCTCTAAAATCAAGTTCAGTTAATTTCTTTTCCCCTTGATTTCCTCAATATTTTATTAAACAGTTCTTATCCAGAATTGAAAGATAATTTAATTAAAAGATACTTTTACTTCTTACTCACTTCTTCTTCTACCTGGCAATTTCCCAGCTATAGCCAGGGGGTCTGCCTTACATGAATAGTTTTTTGGCTATTTGTTTTTACGACCGGCCGCCTGCCTGACATCAACCCTCTTTTTGGGAATCAACATTAATCAGTGATGTCTAAATACTCTTAGAAAATACATATGATTCGAAAAAA